TCCCTGTTCCCCGCGCGGAGCTCCGTTGTGGGCCTCTCCCTGTTCCCCGCGCGGAGCTCCGTTGTGGGCCTCTCCCTGTTCCCCGCGCGGAGCTCCGTTGTGGGCCTCTCCCTGGTCCCCGCGCGGAGCTCCGTTGTGGGCTTCTCCCTGGTCCCCGCGCAGAGCTCCGTTGTGGGCCTCTCCCTGGTCCCCGCGCGGAGCTCCGTTGTGGGCCTCTCCCTGGTCCCCGCGCGGAGCTCCGTTGTGGGCCTCTCCCTGGTCCCCGCGCGGAGCTCCGTTGTGGGCCTCTCCCTGGTCCCCGCGCGGAGCTCCATTGTGGGACTCTTCCGGGTCCAAAACGAGCGCCAGGAATGCGCTCATCTTGTAGGGACCATTGTGGCTGTGAAATGGACGCAGAGTTAGAGACAGACACACAGAGACACAGACACTCACACAGAGACACAGAAACACAGACAGAGACACAGACAGAGACACAAACAGAGACACAGACAGAGACACAAAGACACAGACAGAGACACAAACAGAGACACACAGACACAGAGAGACAGACACTCACTCACATAGAGACACAGACAGAGACACAGACACTCACACAGAGACACAGACAGAGACACAGACAGAGACACAGAGACACAGACAGAGACACAAACAGAGACACACCGACACAGAGACACAGACACTCACACACACAGACACAGATAGAGACACAGAGACAGAGACACAAACAGAGACACACAGACACAGACAGAGACACAGACACTCACTCACACAGAGACACAGAAACACAGAAAGAGACACAGACAGAGACACAAACAGATACAGAGACACAGAGACGCAGACACTCATTCACACAGAGACACAAACAGACACAGAGACTCACACAGAGACACAGACAGAGACACAGACACAGACAGACACAGACAGAGATACAGACAGAGACACAGACAGAGACACAGAGACAGATAGGTGTGTGTGTGTGTGTCTGTGTGTATCTGTGTGTGTCTGTGTGTGTCTGTGTGTGTCTGTGTGTGTCTGTGTGTGTCGTACGATTTGAATCGACAGTAGAATGACGACTCATGGCCACCATCAACACCATCAACGCCTCCTGTATCTGGGGAGGAGAGGGGAGAGGTGGTGAGTGAGTGGGTGAGTGAGTGAGTGGGTGAGTAGGTGAGTGAATAGGTGAGTAGGTGAGTGAGTAGGTGAGTGAGTAGGATGAGTGGGTGAGTAGGTGAGTGAGTAGGTGAGTGACTGAGTGAGTAGGTGAGTGGGTGACTGAGTGAGTAGGTGAGTGAGTGACTGAGTTAGTGAGTGAATAGGTGATTCGGTGAGTGAGTAGGTGAGTGTGTGAGTGGCTGAGTGTGTGAGTGGCTGAATGAGTGAGTGGCTGTGTGTCTAGGTGAGTGGGTGAGTGAGTGACTGAGTGAGTGAGTGACTGAGTGAGTGGCTGAGTGAGTAGGTGAGTAGTTGAGTGAGTGAGTAGGTGGGTGAGTAGGTGAGTGAGTGGGTGAGTGAGTGACTGAGTGAGTGAGTAGGTGAGTGGGTGAGTGACTGAGTGAGTAGGTGAGTGAGTGGGTGAGTGAGTGGGTGAGTGAGTAGGTGAGTGAGTGAGTGAGTGGCTGAGTGAGTAGGTGAGTGACTGAGTGAGTGGCTGAGTGAGTGAGTGAGTGGCTGAGTGAGTGAGTAGGTGAGTGAGTAGGTGAGTGAGTGGGTGAGTGAGTGAGCGTTCCCCACCACCACCAGCGAGTGAGATGTTCTGAGCGTGCGCTGACGCTCTGACGAAAGCTCCCACGTCCCCAGGGTGGAGCCAGTCTAGGAAGCTGCTCCGCCCTGGGGCTGCTCCACCGTGGGGCGGCTCCACCGTGGGGCAGCTCCACCATGGGGCTCTGGGCGACTTCTCGCCCAAAGCGAAGAGCACACGGCCCGTGCAGAGTGACACGCAGATGGAACACGTCGCCTGCAGACACAGTCAGTGAGTCAGTCAGTCAGTTAGTCACTCAGTTAGTCGAGTCAGTCAGTCAGTTAGTTAGTTAGTGAGTCAGTTAGTTAGCGAGTCAGTTAGTCAGTCAGTCAGTCAGTCACTCAGTCAGTCAGTCAGTCACTCAGTCAGTCACTCAGTCAGTCACTCAGTCAGTCACTCAGTCAGTCACTCAGTCAGTCACTCAGTCAGTCACTCAGTCAGTCACTCAGTCAGTCACTCAGTCAGTCTGGTACTCAGTCAGTCAGTCAGTCAGTCACTCACTCAACCACTAACTCACTCAACCACTCACTCACTCAACCACTCACTCACTCAACCACTCACTCAGCCACTCACTCACTCAGCCACTCACTCACTCAGCCACTCACTCACTCAGCCACTCACTCACTCAGCCACTCACTCACTCAGCCACTCACTCACTCAGCCACTCACTCACTCAGCCACTCACTCACTCAGCCACTCACTCAGCCACTCACTCAGCCACTCACTCACTCAGTCACATGTAGTGTTGGTAGTGGTAATGGTGTTAGTGGTGGTTGTGGTGGTTGTTGTTATTATTGTTGTGGTGGTTGTATTGTGGTGGTGGTCGTGGTGGCTGTCGTGGCGGTGATGGTGGTTGTGGTGGTTGTGCTTGTGGTTGTTCTTGTTGTTGTTGTTGGTTGTGGTTGTTGTTGTACCCTCATGGTGTGGAGTCTCCGCGAGGCTGAGAGTCTGAGTTGGCTCAGCGAGAGCAGCGGCAGTGGGAACAGAGCCGGGGCCGGCTCACACGGAGCCTGGCACAGTCCTGCACTCACACAGTCACACACAGTCACACACTCACACAGTCACACACAGTCACACACTCACACAGTCACACAGTCACATACAGACACACTCACATACAGACACAGTCACACAGTCACACAGACACACAGTCACACACACACACAGTCACACACACACACAGTCACACACACACACAGTCACACACACACAGACACACGGACACACACAGACACACGGACACACACACAGTCACACACACACACAGTCACACACACAGTCACACACACAGACACACACAGACACACACAGACACACAGACACACACAGTCACACAGTCACACACACACACAGTCACACACACAGATACAGACACACACAGACACACACACACACAGTCACACACAAGAGACACATACAGACACACACACAGTCACACACACACACAGTCACACAGACACACACACACAGTCACACACAGTCACACTCACACAGTCACACACAGTCACACACACAGACACACATACAGTCACACACACAGAGATATACTCAGACACAGACACAACAACAACCGCCATTCGCCACTAAGTGGCGGTGACGTCACCACGACGCTTGTGCCAGGCCAAGTGCACCTTGAGGCTGCCACGTGAAATGTCGAACGCCCGCTGGCAGGAGGTCACGGGGCAGACCCAGCAGGTGCCACGGGTCGACTGACCGAGATGACCGAGATGACTGGCTGATGCACCACCTGTGCCCCCTACTGTGCCAACTTGCTGTGCTTTAGCCACCCGAGCCACTCCCTGTTGTTTGGCAGTCTCCTGCCCCGAGTAGAGGACTATCCACCCCTCATGGTGGCAGGAGCCAGAACCGGTCCACCGGACTTCCTGAATGCCACAGAGATCCAGGTGGTACCCGTCCAGCTCCCGACAGAGGAGTGGCAGCCTCTCCTCCGCAGTGAGCGTTCGAACATTCCACGTGGCCACACGAAGTGGCTTTTTGTTGTTTCTGGAGGAGCCCCGAGGGTGAAGATTCAATCTCCTGGCTCCGCCAATTGGGGTTTGGCCAGGAGACGTCATAGACGCCTGTCCCCCCGGGGCCTCCGGCACAAGCTTATTAATTAGATATTTTAGTCGTGGTTTAGTGGTAGTTAATTGAAGGTGGAGGGGTTACCAGCCCCTCGCACCTGTCCAGAACACACACAGAGACTCACAGAGACTCACAGAGACACAGAGACTCACAGAGACTCAGAGACACAGAGACTCACAGAGACTCACAGAGACACAGAGACTCACAGAGACAGAGACACAGAGACACACACAGAGACACAAAGACAGGGACACAGAGACACAGAGACACACACAGAGACACACACAGAGACACACACAGACACAGAGACACACACAGAGACACAGAGACACAGACACACACACAGAGACTCACAGAGACACAGAGACACAGACACACAGAGACACAAAGACACAGACAGAGACACAGAGACACAGAGAAACAACAGAGACACACACAGAGACACAGAGACAGAGACACAGACACAGAGACACACACAGAGGCAGGGACACAGACACACACAGACACAGAGAGAGACACACAGAGACACACACAGAGACACACACAGAGACACACACAGAGACACACACAGAGACACAGAGACAGAGACACAGACACAGAGACACACACAGAGGCAGGGACACAGAGACACACAGACACACACAGACACAGAGAGAGACACACAGAGACAGAGACACACAGAGACACACACAGAGACACACACAGACACCCAGGCTCTGTGTGTGTCTCCGTCAGGGTCTCACCGGCTAAGTGATGGACGCAGGACTGCTGCAACTGCACGCACGCAGGCGCTGCTGCTGCTCCTGCTGCTGATGCTCCTGCTGCTGCTGATGGTACTACTGCTGCTGCTGCTCCTGCTGCTGCTGCTGGTACCACTACTGATGGTACTACTACTGCTGCTGGTACCACTACTGATGGTACTACTACTGCTGCTGGTACTGCTGCTGCTACTACTGCTGGTACTGCTGCTGCTGCTGCGTGCTGGTTTCTTGGTGCAAGCAACAGGAGCTGTGCACAGTGCAGAGACGAGCTGGGGGACACCGAGAGGGTGAGTGGGTGGGTGAGTGGGTGGTGAGTGAGTGGGTGGGTGAGTGAGTGGGTGGCTGAGTGAGTAGGTGGGGTGAGTGGGAGTGGGTGGTGAGTGGGGTGAGTGGTGAGGTGGGTGAGTGGGTGG